CCCATCAATGAAAATATTTTAAAAGTAGATTCTATTAAGAATTATTTTTCATACGAATGTATATTTATGCACATATATATATACACACACATAATTTTTTGAAATAGGATTTCAAACATAGTAAACAAACCTTTTTTTACATTTTTTTTAAAAAAATGTATAAGACTAGAGCATAACATGAGCAAATCACTAACAAATCTCAACCTTACCATATATTTACTTTAGTTTGTTTTTGTTTTTGTTTTAATTTTTCAGTTTGCTGTAGGGCACATGTGCTTGCCAGTGAGAGAGAGTGAGAAATCACGCCCCCAGGGGTGATGGTCATGCCGCAGTCTCATCTCTCAGGATTTTGGGCAATACACACATGTACCTGGCATGTTTTTCAAGCTGCTGGGTCAGGGACGCGAACTGCACAGTTAGCCATGTGGGATCCAGCTACTTTAGCTGCCATGACACCAATGGGCCCTAGATCTTTTATTAAGAAATTTGCCATAAATATACTTAAAGTTCTCATGTGTTTACTGTTGCTTTCTTCATAGAAATTTTCACTTTCATAGATTCTGGCTCCTCTTTTTTTCTCTTCCCTCTTTCCTCTTTTCTTTAATATGCCAGAAGGCTAATGTGCGTGAGAGAGAGAAAGAGAGAGCAAGAAAGCACCCCACAATGGGCCCCGCTCAAGTTGCAGTTCTTTTTTCCTACATTTCTCCATGCTGTCAAAATCCTGGGCATGCATGCATTTACCCAGAATGCTTGTCAAGCCTCGGGGTCCAGGATTTAAACCACAATCAGCCATGTGATTAAACACTGCATAATGGGACCAGCCTATCTGGTTCCTTTTCTCTGTGCCTTTATCATATAAAAATAACTATTTTTTGGGAACCAGCAGTTAGCGTAATGGCTATGTCGCTGGACTCCCACGTAGTCGACCGCGGTTTGTGTCCCGGACCCGGTGGCTTAAAACTCACGCCGGGCGCGTGTGCGTGCGTGCCCAAGATCCCGAGAGGAGAATGGAGGAGAAGGGATTGCGGTGTGACCATCCCCCCGGGGGGTGATTTCTCGCTTTCTGTCTCTATGTCTCTCTCTGTCTGTCTGGCGAGTGCACGCGCCCTACAGTGAAAATCTCTCCAAAAAAAAAAAAAAAACTATTTTTTAAAGCTACCAAATATTTTAGTCTTTCATCTTTATATGATAACATTATTTTATATGTCATTCTATAGAGTGTATTTTCTTAATTTACATTATACTTTTTAAAATTTTTCCATGCTACCAGATATAGGTCTAGTTTTTCTCTTTTCCCCCCAATGTATACTATTCCATTGAATGAATAGAATACAGTTAATTTATTTTTTTCTCTTGTTGATGGATTTTTGGTATGTTTCCTTTTGTCTTTTTCCTGAAATAATACTTCAGTCAGTCTAAAAGAAAGTTCAACCTTCTTACTTCTCCTAGTAAAAATGTATCAAAGTATGCAAGAAAAAAAAATTGAAATTCTGTCTTTCGATACCCTAGGGGTTCTGTTGCAGTGATTAAGGACTCTCTCCAGAATTGGGATCAGGGTTTGTGGGTGAATGTGATTCTTGACTAGACACCCCAATTTAATGCATGCACCTGCTCTGCTTTCATAAAACTATATAAGAAAAGTTCTTAGTTCAAGGATTGGTCATTTCTGCTGTATTTCTCCCACACTGCCCAGATGATTGTTTGTTCAGTTAAGATCTTACACAGAAAGAGCAATATGAGTAATCAAAATTGTTCTCAAATGTGGGGTAATTATTCAGGGGATTGTGTCCACTGCATGCCTCTGAGACCATCTGTTCTAGGTGTGGACCCAGTTCACAGTTGATGCCTCTCAGTAGGCAGCAGAGAAGTCAGAACTAGAGAGAGATAAAGAGAAGAAGCTGCTGCAATTCAAAGTAAAGCTATTGGGTTTTGTGGGAGTTGGTGAGAACATCTGTGGGTAAGAGGTAGAAGGACTGTGAGAGTAAGAACTGTACACCCTCAGGGTCTGCACCAGTTCTTTCGTGGAGGGGCTCAAAGCCAGTGTCAGGAGTTGGAGATTTTAAAACCTTGGCCCAGATTAGGGAGGGAAGTAGGGAAAACCTGGCCTGCTCATGTTGTGGGGGTGCTCTTATTGAAGGGTGGTCATGGAAGAGCAAAAGCAGCTTGTGATCTGCAGATCCTAAGAAGCTCACGCAGATGCTCATAAGAGGAAAGGCACTGTCACTGCCCCAGCAGGATGTGACTGGGCTTGATGTTCACTGACTCATCTGTGAAGAAAACAGAGACTGTCATGTGTAAATGGCAGGGCAGGACACATCAGGAAGAAGGCGATCTTCAAGAGAAAAACAGGAAGTGTCCCAGAGAGCCTTCCTAGGCTCGGCCTACCCTTTTTTAAAATCACATGGGACTACACAATAGTGCTAGGAAAACCTGAAGTGTTTCTAGTTATTTTTAAGTTCTAAGTCAGAAAATAGGGATAAGCTTATCTATGTCATCTGGTTGAAAACCAACCAAAGAAAGGAATCAGCAGGACTGCAGAAGATTCCCAGTTGAGGTTAGATTAGAAATTAACATGGCAAAGACAAAAAGGACACATGCCAAGGTTAGTATCAAAGAACGCAATGAAATAATGTTCTAGAAAGATTCGGGCCAAGCTGAGTTAAGTAAGGCTCACCAGGCAGCTTCACAGCTGGACAAAGTAGGCTAAAAGACCCATTCCATGGTCAGGCAGGAAGATGAGTCCCCCTACGCTGAGCCACACCTCCAAAGTCAGAGTCTAGGGCACCTGACCAAGACTGAAAAACATAGCCAACATGTGGAATCTAAGTGGATTGGTATTCAATGTCTAAATCATCTGGGATCCAGACAGACTTACTGAAGGTA